GCTGAAAAGGGACGCTGTGGGTTTCAGGGTGAAGATCTTCTCTCACTACTCTAAAGGGCCCCTTTGGCAGTAGGAAACACATAGGCTATTATGGAGATTGATTTTGGAATTCAGATGCACTCTTATTGATTGTGCTTGGCTGTACATGTACATATCTGAAGAGAATTTCTGTTTGTTGCCAGCCTCCTGTTAGGAAATATCACTACCTTTTTTTTTTTTTCGTAAGCTGTGAAATAAAATCCATGAGATCGCTAACTTAGAAGTGATAAATGGATTTTAAGGTCTTTGTTTTGCTTGTTATTGTTATGTACAAGATCCTCATGATTAAAGTTTAAATTGAGAGGCAGGGTAGTTTGAATGAAAACTGATAATTATTTAGATTCTCACATACTGCATCTTTCAGCCTGGAGATCATCTGGAAACATGGCAGGCACTGTCACACTGGGTACAGGAAGCAGAGCTTCTCTCTCACTGCCTGTCATGGTGGTCCTGAGGTGGTCAGTAGTAGAATGACAGGACCACCTTGAAATTATATTCTTTTCAAAGAAAAGATGCTGGTGCTTTTAGGGAGCTATGGAGGTCTAGTGGGTACCCAAAGGCAGGAGGGCAGTTCAAACTGACGAGTAGCTGCAAGGGAGAAAGATGGGCAGTCTCCTCCCATGCAATTTATACCTCTGAAAACCTACTGTCGGGCAGGGTAGCTATGACTTGGTTCAGACTCAACTGCACATAACAATACACAAGCATCTGGGAATGAATGACGAAAGAGAAACTGTTGATGGCTTAATGAAGAAATCTGTATAGTATGGGATTAAATGAACAGCCTGAACCCAGCATTGTTTACTTATTGTTGGTTAATTGCCAGTGAGTTACATCCAGCTCATGTGTAACAGAATATGTGCCCTAGCCCTGTGCCATCTTCATGACCATTAATATGTCCAAATCCTTTGTTGAAGCTGTTCTGGCAATCTGTCACGTCTACAGTCTCCTCATTCTTATTGGTGTTCTACGAAAATAATCTCCTTTTCTAATGATTGATCTTTACTGATGATACAAGGATACATCCACCTGCTTACTTGTTATGTGCCATCAACTCAACTACAACACACAGTGATCTATCTATAAACAGTAGATCTGAACCCTGCTCTATCCTGAGCCAATCTCACTGTCTCTGACACACTTAACCTCATTACCTCCAGATGTCATTCTATCTCATCAGGGTCTTCCTGTCCTGCGCTGTCCCTCAACCCTTCCAAGCATGATGTCCTTCTCCAAAGACTGGTCCCTCCTGGCTACATGCCCAAAATATATGAGATGGAGCCTCAAGATCCTTGCTGCCAAAGAACAGTTTGGTTTCACCCTCTCCAGGACGGACCTTTCATTCTCTTGGCAGTCCATGATGTGTTCAGTACTCTTCTCCAGCACCATTATTCAAAGCATAAATCTGTCATCTTTGGTCCTTGTCCAGCTCTCTTAGCAAGTAATTGCTAATGTCATGGCTTGTTTCAGGCACACCTTAGTCTCTAGACTGACATTGTTGCTCTTCAGCACTCTGGAGAGGTTCCTGACAACAGAGTTTTGCAATGTAGTTTGTCTTTTGATTTCCTGACTCTGGTGCCAAGAGGACCATTGAAGACCCAAGAAATTGACATCATTAACAGTGTCAATCTCTTCACCATCTATCATGGTGCTGCCAATTACTTAGCCCTTGGGGGCAATAAAAAAGCCCTGTGAAGCCAATCTCTTGAGACAACAGGGACATCAAGGGAGAAAAAGTAACTCAGGCTAGAGAGCGAGCTGTGATTTCCTCAGAGCAAAGGAAGGGCAGCCCACCATTACCAAATCGCACATTCTGCCTCAAGCCTCTGTGATAATGCACCTGCTCACTTTGATAAGGCTCTTATCACCTTTCTCCCAGTTTATTACTTGAAAATGTAGCCATTTTGCTGTTTCAAAATTGTAATATATTTTCTTAGTGATTTAATTTTTTAAAATAAATATGTTTTCATTTCCCCCCAAAAAAACAAACAAACAAACAAACAAAAAACAACAACAACAAAAAAACTGAAGCCAAAGCAAAGGCATTAAAGGACAAGAAGGCAGTCCTGAAGGGCATCCACAGCCAAGAAAAAAAAGATCTGCACGTCACCGACCTTCCGGCGGCCTAAGATGCTGAGACTCCGAAGGCAGCCCAGATGCCCCCAAAAGAGCATCCGCAGGAGAAACAAGCTTGACCACTATGCCATCATCAAATTTCCCCTGACCACTGAGTCAGCTATGAAGAAGATAGAAGATAACAATACACTTGTGTTCATTGTGGATGTCAAGGCCAACAAGCACCAAATTAAACAAGCTGTAAAGAAGCTCAGTGACATTGATGTGGCTAAGGTCAACACTTTGATTAGGTCTGGTGGAGAGAAGAAGGCCTATGTTCGACTTGCTCCTGACTATGATGCTTTGGATGTTGCCAACAAAATTGGAATCATCTAAACTGAGTCCAGGGGGCTAATTCTAAATATAAATTTTTCTCGCCATAAAAAAAAATGCTAAAGAGCAAGGGTATCAGTTTAAAGATGAAGATGTACCTGATCTAGGTCATGGCATTTTCCATTATTTCCTATGCATCTGAAAGTTAGACAGACAATAAAGAGGATAGACAAAAGCTTGATGCCTTTGCGTTGTGGTGTTGGAGAAGAGTCCTGAATATCCCATGGACGAACCAGTCTGTCCTGGAGGAGGTGCAACCAGCGTGATCCTTAGAGGCAAGAACGAGGAAACTTGATCTCACATTCCTGAGACATGTTGTCGGGAGCGACTAGTCATTGGAAAAGAGACATAATGCTGGGGAAAGTGGAAGGTCAGGGAAATAGGAAGATGCCCAGTAAGGTGAATGGATACAGTGACTGTAACCTTGGGCTTGAACACACCAGGAATGGTGAAGATGGGGCTGAAGAGGGCAAACTTCAGACCTGAGCCCATGTCAAGGCTCTGCTTCAGACGTCTGCCTTCCATAAACCAAATGCTTCAGATTTTAAGCTCTAATACAACTTCTCATCATAACTTGGTGCTTCCCATATAACACTTCTAAACATCTTTATTTTAAATGATAATTCTTTTTATTTTATATTAAAATTTTTTATGCCAGTTTCTTCTTAATAAAAAAGTCTCGAAGGCCAAAATGTTGATGTAATTAACATGATTAATTTTAAAGTGCGAACATCGTTGTCTTCTGTGTGTAAGAACTTGTTTGCCTCTCGTTCTTAGGCTCTGTTTCTGGGACTGAAGGGACGCATCAGCTGCCCATTTACCACCTTAGAAATCGTTGATTGCAGAATGGATCTGTGGTCCCTCATGCGCCTGGGGAAGGCTCTGCAGTTCAGCAATTTGTCCTCTCTTGTCCTGGATTACTGCAGGTAAGGATGGAATTCAGATTTACAAATGACAAGACTCTTACTGCTGTTAGTTGTGGTGTGGCAAGGGAAACCACGTTCGAATTCCACCCGACTGTTCAATTCATGGCTAAAACACGGGGTTAGAAAATCTCCTTAGGGAGCCTTGGTGGCCTAGACTGCTGGAAGGTGTGCTAAGACAAAGACGGTGCCTGGAGGTAGACAATCTCCTCTCATGTCATTAACAGCCTGCTGGGGGCTCAGTTATGAGTTGGTTCTGACTTGGCAATTAAGTTAGCCTAATGTCTCAAAGTTACTGTTAGTGAGTAAATACTCAAACTAACCCGTTGCATCTGCATCCATTCCAACTCATAGCTCCATCGGTTTCCAAAGCGGTAAATGACAGTGGGAGGAGACTGTTCCTCTTTCTTCCTTGTAGCAGCTGGTGGGTTCAAAACCCCAGAGATCCGTGGCTTTTTGGTCAGCAGAGCAGGAACTACACCAGCAGAACTCTGTAAGTAAACTCCAGAGGTCTCACAAAGAGTTTGTCCACACATTTGTTCTTTGAGAAAGTATTGTTGAAGGCTACTCATTGGATAAGGAGATCCAAATATTTATACTGCAATGCTGTTGCCCAAGGAAGTTTTTAGTACAGTTGGAGAGGAGAGAATTCCTAACAATTGAGTATCACAGATACTGTCTCAGTTGCTAGAGGTCTAGATACACCTTGTTGTTGTTGTTTTTGTTGTTGTTAAGTGCTGTTCAGTCGTAGATGACTCATAGTGACCCTATGAATGGAAAGACCTGAACACTTGTATAACTTCGGTTATTTCTCCAGGTTCATAAAGTTTCTGGAGGCAAGCCATTTCGGAAGTGGATGCCAACTTCTGCTTCCAAGCTTGTTTTAATCAGGAAGCTCCTCCAAACCCTGTCCACCATGGGTAACCATTCTCACATTTGGCACATCACTGTCACAGTGTTTAGCATCACAGTAGCCATGAGTTACTTCTGTACAGCAATGTACAGACCAGTGCTATGCCACTTAGAAGAATGTTTTATTCCACCCTAGTGGAATCCCACTCACCAGTCCCAGCCAACAGCTTCTGTAGAATCAGCTCCTGTAGATGATTTTCAAACTGGTCTCTAGCGCCATACACCTAAAGGTTCCTAAAACACAAGCCTAGTGATCTGCTTCCTCAAACTCAGTTGTGGAAAATCCAATGAAGCCAAAATGTCATCATAAATCAAAGTAAACTAGATGAACAGTAGATGTTTGGCTTTATCTGTAGGGATCCCAGACATTCCCTTGGTTATAGTACAATATAAAATGTTGTTGTTGTTGGTATGTGCCAACGAGTCATCTGCGACTCATAGTGACCCTATGTACAACAGCCTTAAACCTTGCTCTATCCTGTGCCGTTCTTATTGTCTCTGATACACACCCCCCCCATAACCCCAGTCTCATCGAGGGTCTTCCTCTCCTGTGCTGTCTCTCCACCCTCCCAAGCATGATGTCGCTCTCCAAGGACAGGTCCCTCCTTGCAACATGTCCAAATATGTCAGATGAAGCTTCAGAATCCTTGCCTCCAAGAAGCAGCCTGGTCTCACCCTCTCTAGGATGAACTTGTTTGTTCTCCTAGCGATTCTTGGTATTTTCAATATTCTTCTCTAGCAACACAGCTCAAAAGCATCAATTCTCCTTCTATCATCTCTAATCATTGTCCAGCTTTCTGATGCATAGCAAGTAATTGCAAAGACTATGGTCTGGATCAGACACATCTTAGTCTCCAGACTGACATCATTGCTCTTCAGTGTTTTTGAGAGATCTCTGACAGCAGACTTTCCCAATGCAATTTCTCTTTTAATTTACTAGCTGCTAATTGAGTGTTGATAGGTGCCATAAAGTAGACTTCAACTCACAGCAACCCTATGAACCTCACATCTGAGCCTTGCCCTGTCCTGTGTATCCTCACCAATTCAGATACATGCCAGTCCATTGTTATAGTCACCATGTCAGTGTGTGTTGTTGAAGGTCTTCCTTTCTCTGACCCTCCACCTTTCCCAGCATGATGTCTTTTTTCCAAGGGCTGACCCCTCCTGACACATGCCCAAATTATGTGATATGAATTTTCACCATCCTTGCCTCTAAAGATCACCCTTGTTCCACTTTCTCTGAGACATATTTGTTTTATCCTTTTGGCAGTCCATGGGCTATTTAGTACTCTTCTCCAACACCACAATTCTAAGGTATCGTCTTTTCTTTTGTCATCTTTATTCATGGTCCAACTTTCAGATGCGTAGGAAGTAATGGAAAATACTATGGTTTAGATTAGGTACATCTTAGTCTTTAAAATGACATTGTTGGTCTTTCCCCAATGTAACACAGCATTGCTTGCAATGCATCAGAGAACTGAACAATGACTAGGGATGATAGAAAGAGAATTGATGCCTTTTAGCTGTGCTGCTGGAGAAGAGTGTCGCATGGACTGCTCCTTTGACGGAAAGATTCTGAGGCTTCGTCTGACATACTTTGGGCATGTTGCAAGGAGGGACCAGACCTTGGAGAGGGACGTCATGCTTGGGAGGGTGGAGTAACAGAGAAAGAGAGGGAGACCATCGATGAGATGGATTGATACAGTGACTGGGATAAAGAGGGTAGGTGTGTCAGAGACAGTAAAGTTGGCACAGGACAGGGCTGTCATTCATAGGGTCACTTTGAGTCTCAAGGATCTCAACGGCACATAACAAGAACACGTCATTTGCTTTCTTGACTGCTGTTATCCTGGGTATTGATTGTCGATTCAAGTAAAGTGAAATCATTGACAGTTTCAATCTTTTTCTCTTCTTTGGCTTTAGTTGTTGGTGCTTATGTTTGAATAATAGTCATATTAACAGCCCTTCTTTATATGTATATGGATAGTAATATATCACTTACAACATTTGACTTTAGGACGTTGTTGCTATGTGCCGTCGAGTCGTTTGCGACTCGACTTTAGGATAGATCTTGTAATTACTTTTTTGACTATTAACACACTATTCTTCTTCAGTTTTTTAATTCCCAGCATAATAGGTTATATGATTGTTTAATTCAAAGTGGTTCATGCATGGCCATCTGAGTTCACTAATGCTTTCCATGTAATTTTGGACAACTTCCAGTTTTTCTACCTTCATGCACCATACATTCTGAGTTCCAGTTACTAATGGTTGTTTGTACTTGATTCTCCTCATTTTTCAGTAACTTCCCGTCTGGACTTTACCTCCACTGTAACTACCATGTTCCTCTATTGTTCATAGAGTTTTGAAGGCCTCTTATTTTGGCTGTCTTCCTAGTTTCCCATGGGGTTCTGTTTGGGGCCCCACAATAGAAAGTAGAATGCCTAAAGGCCACACAAGGTGTCGGTAGATGTCTGTGATACGCAGATAAGGGAAACGGCAATCCCCTGGGTGATGAGCTGTCCATTCACCAGGAGAAGTGTGGAAGGAAAGGTGTGCTGTAGAAGGGCAGAACCAATCCTCCAGAGGACTCGGCCCCCAGGACGCAGGGTTTCCTCAGGTGGCCGTGGCAACAGTGGCAAAGTCCTCCAGCAAAAGCAGGAAGAAGGTTCTCTGCTGAGGCACAGGGATTTCAACACATTGTTCTCTGGTTTCTGAAAGGCTGTTGGTTTTGTTGCTTCTACGTGCCGCCAAGTTGAGTATGACTCACAACAACCCAATGACCATTAGATGGGAACCTTGTCCTTGTCCCTGTGCCATCCTCACGATCTCCATTATGCCCGAGCCCATCGTCACACTCGCCGCGTCAGCCCAAGTCACTGAGAAGTTTCAGACAACCTTCTCTGACCCCCTCTACCTTTCCCAGCATGATTTCTTTTCCAAGGACTGGCCTCTCCTTACAACAAGCTGGCTGGAGCCCCAGTCTCTTAGCACAGAGCTGCTGAAGGCCAGGTACTCAGGATGCTGCCTTGGTGACTGCAGGGTGTGCACTTTGCATCCTGCACTTGGTACAACCACCCGCTGCTATGAGATCCATTCAGACCCCATCTTGGAGGGCGGGGAGGGGGGACACTGAGCCCTAGGCTGGTCAGGAGCAGCTCCATCTTTAGCAAGCATCTTATTTTGATTTTCTGTCAAATGCTGTTGTTACGACCCCTACGAGCTGCCGGACTGGAGTCCTGGGATCCACTATCTGGATCTCTACATTGGTGCTGACCTGCTTGTCTTACTTGTACTCTTCCCTGCCTCCCCTGATAGACTGTGAGGTCCCTGGATGAAAAACACTATCAGTTCTCAGAGCATTGTGTAGACTCTTCTTGGCAACTGGCGGGTCAGTGTGATCCCCTGACCAGGGGCCAATTCCCTAGCTGGAAATGGTGCCTTTCAGCCTCCTTACCCCGTATAAGTTTGCTGATAACTTACCCAATGTGTTGGGCAGACGAATGTTTGAGAGATCCAATTCAAACTCAGTTTAGTGAGAGTGAGACTTTACTAAGCAGTTTCGCAAAACCAGGGGCCCATGCCTAGACAGAGAAGCAGTTTTTAATCCCTAGGTCCCAAGAGTTTTTATCCCTAGGTCGAAAGTCTCTCTCGAGTTCTCATTAATTGAGTAGCAGCTCAGTGGCAGCCTAGTGGTAAGAAATATAAAGTCACGTCGTTCAAATCTACCAGCTGTTCTGTGGAAGAAAGGTGGGCAGTCTTCTCCTATGTGATTTATTGCCTCTGAAAACTCACTGGCGGGTCAGGTATGGGTCAGTTCTGATTCAGTGGCATATAACAACGAGGTGTGATGCCTAGTTGTTAGTTCCTTTTTCACAGCCCTTTGTCCCTCCCTTCACCCCTTTCATTGTTGTGTACGCCTTCCAGAGGCTCTGTGATTAA